CCCTCTGCCAGTATGTCATTGCTCTCCTACTTCTGCATCTCTTTAGGAATTAACTGCTCTCCCTTCTTTTCCACTGGAGTTTAGTCTGATACATCATCTTTGCACTGCTTACTGGAGCCAAGCATGAGGAAATCACCAGATACTTCTGGACCTTCAAAGGATGATGCTGGTACATGACTGCTCTCCACTGGCTGGAGTGTGGCCCCCTTCATCGTGGTGACAAACTCCAACCCCATCTTCTCCTTCTCCCCTCATTTTTTATTTATTTTTTCCTGCCAATCCTTCTTTTGAGCACAAAAGAAGACATATGAATGGCTCCACAAGGCTCCCTCAAACAATTCCGTCTTCTCCAGGCATAGACAGTTTGAAGGTGGTTGGTCAGATTTAGATACTGGGGGGTTCAGGTTGATTAATAATTAAGATAAATAGAAACATAGAAAGATAGATAAGGGTACCTTTTGGATTTTAGGGTGAATTGATATGGCTGACATGACTTCATCATTAGGTAGAATCAGTTTTGCAGTGAGGGTAATACAACAGACACCAGCTGTTAGTTGCTAGCGCAAACCATGTAAACTACAATCTAACCAAGTCTTTCTGCTAATCACCAGTGCACACTGAGTATCCTGGAGGCTGTTTTGGATCTGAACAGAACTAATATCATCTGGACTTTTGTCCTTTGCTGATATCTGGTGGTAGAATTGAAAATTGATCCTCAATTAAAATCCTTTTTCCCTACATTTTCCTTGCTACTTGAATTGCAATATTTAACAGATGGATATATGATGCCCATTATATTTTTCAAACTTATCCCGTTACGCTTAGATGGATGTTTGACGCCCATTATATTTTTCAGCCTTATTTGGACATTATAGGCCAATTAGACCTCTAGACAGAATATACTTCCATATTTCTCTGCAATTTCCATAGATGGATGTTTGATGTCCATTGTTTCCTTTCTTATGGTTGTGAACGTATAGGTCAAAATGATCTTTGTTTGGTTATACCTATATATCCTTCTAAAGCATTTAACAGATGATATCTGATGCCCATTATATCCTCTACAACTGTTTTGGGCGTGTAGGCCAATTAAGATCTTTTTTTAGGTAATTTTATCCTAGTTCTGTGAGCTTATACATCCAGGACTGCCTTGGCGGTAGAAATTTCCTCAAAAAATCTCCCCTGAAGAAGCCCGTGAGGGCGAAACATGTAGGGAGTAACAACATTTACCTAACCAAGTTTGAATCTCAGTTGGTATTCTTAGAATTGAAATTGTTTTTATGTTTCTGTATTTTTTCCTTTCTTTTTTTTTTTACCAAAATACTAAATAAAAATTAGATAACTTTTAATGTGTGGTATTCATGTCTATGCACCCTGAAAGTCACATTTTCTCTATTGAATATTTACAATCTAACCAAGTTTCTTGTTATTCAGTATATTTGGCTGGCAATATGAATAATTTCAGAGCATGGAACCTGCTATATTTTTACAATAATTCATTCTGCTCTAGGTTGTGAGAAGAACTGTAAATCTATTAACAGTTTTCAGAGTATTTTTATTTAAGATTTATATTGATAAATAGTTTTTTTTTCCAAATGAAGCAATCAATTCTCTGATTAGAGAAAGTTATTTTCAGAAAATTTAGAGAATTGACTTTATTAGAGATTTCTGCTTAACTTGGTTTACCTTTCAGTCTATTAGGACGTCTACCTCCAGATTATATGGTACAGTATGCAAAAAAAAGTATTTGCAAAACATTTCCTTTGCAATTGAAAGTCAAAGAATCTGTTCACTGAAGTCAACTTGTTTCATCTGTTTGTTTACAACATGGGATCACAGAGAAGGGCCAGGAAAATATAGATTCTTCAAGCAGACAGTCATCATCCATCTTCCTATTTTATGCTTCTGTAAAATAATGTGTGCAATAAATAGGGCTATCAATTACTGCAGATGTATATGCATGACAAGCAAGCTACTATTGAAAAATCTTAATTTGGAAGGTATTTTTAGGGATTCTAGAACAAAACATTTGCTAAAGAAAAACATTTTTGTGTAGAATACAGATAGAAGATTAATCAATTTGTCAATTTATGTACACTGTTCAAGATATAAAGAGAATGGAAATAAACAGCCGTTGAAAAGAGACTGATCTTGACAGAAGGTCACATTTTGTTTCAATGCAACTTTAGAGAAACTCTTTGAAGAAAATGTAAATTATCCAGATTTGCCATTCCATAAATACAGATTGATTGTATTCCTGTCCAGAGAGGAAGAATTCACTGAACATGTTACTCTACAAACAGTCTGTTAAATTGGTAACGGCATTTAAACAACAACTCCATAAAAGGGATTTATTAACACCCTTACACTAGCACAGTGGCATACTGTGCTATATTAGGTAATGGACAATCACAAGTCTCTAGGTCTTTTAAAGAGCTGGTAAATATTTCATATGATAACACATAATTACAGGTCTTAAATATGAATATCATTTTGTTCCTTTGTTTTTAATGACTTATAAATAACCTCAATGATCAAGAGTATTTAAATGATATTTTTGGAACTAGGCAAGAGAGCTTAGTTAGAATGGAATAATTTATACACCAGCTGTCATTCTAGCAATATAAAAACAAAATACATTATTAGATTTTGCACACATACCATTTTTGTATAGCTATTTTAAAATGCACTAAAATTACATATATCTCTTTTAAAGCAACAACATTGGCTTCTGCATTGCTTGATTAAAATAGCATCCTGCTAAAGCTAACTGTACAAAATGGCATTTGCCAATCACCCTTTAAATTGAGTCCCATGAAAGTTTCTTCAAAAAAGAAATATACAACATATTTTAAAGTCCAAGTAACAAAGCATACAAACATGCAGTTGGTTTGTAAATTTAAAATGTATGTTACCCCAACATTTCATATTCCTAATACATGTCGGTTGTACCATGTACTTGTATTAAAAAGTATCCTGTTCTCTTTGAATTGCTTTCTTTTTGTGAGTTACCTGGTTAACATACAAGTTCTCCTCCTTTCCTACTTCACACTGACCACATCAGGCTTGGAAGCACATCCCTCCCAGCCTGGTCAGATTTCGGTTTTGCATTCTACTTGGGAGCACAGCATGATTGTAGTCCATTTGGTCAGACTTCTGCTGACACCCTCCAGCACTGCTCTTCACTGGGAAGATCTGTGTACTGCTGTTTCTCTGCCTCCTGCAGACAAGGCCCCCTGTAGTCTCTCACTTACATATTTCCTACAAATTAACTATGTGAAATATTTAAATATATTTTAAAAGTGTAAACATTTTACAAACAATAAACATAATTGCTATATTAATCATTAATAAAACAGAAACAAAATCAGCAGGAAAATAATAGTTGAAGAGAGAAGGCGACTAAGGTGTTGATTAGGAATGATTAGAATAAATTAAGGATTAATAACATTTTATTAAAAGTTAAAAAAAACAACTTTTTGTACTTGTCAGGTTGCTTTAACCGACATAATTTAGAGCTCTAAGTTCATCCCTTTGATTTGCAGATGAATGATACAAAAGTAACAATATGTTACATTGTATTTTTTTTATGTATGTTACCAGGATTTGGGCAGGTGCGGTTGCGAAACTACTGTAGATAAGAGGAAGTATTGCCAGTTCTGGACATGATGGGAGAGATTTACTAAATATGGGGTACTGAGAATCTGGTGTAGCTGTGCATAGTAACCAATCAGCTTCTAATTTCAGCTTGTTCAATTAACCACTTGCCCTCCAGAGGATTTACCCCCCTTCCTGACCAGGCCATTTTGTGCAATCCGGTGCTACGTTAATTTAACTGATAATATATACCTTAAACAGTGAAGCGCTAAATAAATCAATAAATATATATATTAAGGTGCCATCAGTGGATATAAGTGCTATAGTGTTAATAGTTCCTTGTAGGTCACTGGAACATTCCAACCAATAGTGTATAAAATTAGAAACCAAACTGAATGCTTAATATATCAGTGAAAAATACTAAATAAATATATAAATATATATAAACACACCAGTGATAAATATTCTAATACCTCCAATAAAATCCTTCTTCTCATTCACAAAAAAAGTGCTCATTAGTGAACAAATAATCAAAAGCTCAAAAAGTGAACAAGTGTATAAAAAACTTTTCTACGTGCATATGCAAAAAAAAAAATATATATAAAATAAATATTACATATATATATAAATAAATAAAATCCATGCAGGTGTAGCTTGTGATAAAAAACAGTGATCTTCACTTCTAGTGCTCACACACAAATCCTCAAATGGCAGCAGTGCCTGCTCACCTCCCCGCACTGACCCTCAAGGGGCCAAAAGGCTACTTAATCTCCTCTATGGCCAAACTTTCTCTCCTTCGGTAGCTCAGCAGGGGATCACAGGGTCTCCACTTCTCCTCCACTCATACGTCATATAGGACATAAAACAGAGCTCCCATAGTATAATATTGTTTATTATAGGCCACTTCTATTACATATTGGTTGTACTCACAATTTTCTCCCTGGTTACAAAGACCTTCCACCTCATCCCATAGGTGTATCACATGAACACAGGGGAACACCAATATGGCCGCTCCGTTCGGACATGCGTCCCACGTGACCGGAAGTGACGTAGTTCTGAACCGGATATGGCGTACCGACGCGTTGCGTCACGTGCGTCGTGACTTCATCAGGGTTACTTTAACTGACAATTGCGAGGTCAACGCTGCACCCAAATTAAATTTATGTCCTTTTTTCCCCATAAATAGAGCTTTTTTTTGGTGGTATTTGATTGCCTGTGCATTTTTTATTTTTTGCACAATAAACAAAAACCAACAATTTTGAAAAAAGGGAAAACAATATTTTTTACTTTTTGCTATTAAACATATCCAGTAAAAAATTTAAAAAATCAAATTTCATCATAAATTTAGGCCAAAATGTATTCTGTGACATGTCTTTGCTAAAAAAAAAAAATCCCAATAAGTGTAAATTAATTAGTTTACATGAAAGTTATAACGTTTACAAATGGCGGTATATATACTGGGACTTTTTTTTTTTTTACTAGTAATGGCGGTGATCTGCGACTTATAGTGGGACTGCAGTGGGCATTCTGACACTGGGGGGAACTGACTTGGTGTCACTGATAACCCCAGTGACACCAATACAGTGATCAGTGCTAATAAAAAGCACTGACACTGTACTAATGGCACTATGCAGGAAGGGGTTAACATGTGGGGTGATCAAAAGGTTAGTTGTGTGCTGTGTGCTGTTTTACTATGTGAGTGTGTGTGCTATACACTGTAAGCACACTGTTTTGTATGGCTCTGCACAGCAGAGCCATTCAAAGCAGTGTGCAGGAGCTGACAGGGGACCCCATTGGTAATACTCGAAGATCAGCGGGTGGTGGTGGGGAATCGCCGGCTGGGATCCGGTGATTGACAGTCGAGGCCGCAGATGGCTGCGTGGGTATATATACATGATTTTGTGCACCCATGCTTCCCTGCAGCAGTATTTCTGCTATAGGGCAGTACAGAAGCAGTTAAACTTTGACAAAAAAACTAAAGACTGATTGGTTTCAGATTTTGAACTCTCAAGTTTTAGTAAATCTCCTCCAAAAAGTCTGAAAGTGACCAGCGATGTTCCTATCATGAAATTGGTTCCTTTATTATGAGTTAGCAGTGCCCTCTATGCCATTCCTTCACATACACAAAAGAAAATCCTAGTTCACACAAGAAACCTTACTAATGACACTAGAACAATACTGCCTGCAAATTTGGTTTCATTCTTTCTGGGCCCTGTTGACAGATAGTTACACTCCTGGGAAGAAAGAAATGTCTGTGTTAAGGTAAAGGAAAGGGGAGGTATATTTTTTTTCCTGCCTTAGCAGCAGCAGAGATGTGACTGCCCCCAAGTGAAAAGGTATAACTGCGATTCAAACTCAAAATTATGTCTTATCATGACTTTATTTTTGTTAAGCTGCATTTCTCTGCTAAGAGTGATGGTGATGAAATTCAAGCTGAAATGTGTAGTGTTTCACTTCTCATCTTGACAACATGAATCTCTGAAAGAAATGAGCCTAGAGTTATAAAAGAGAGATTGGTTTAACTTCCATTTCAGAAAAAAAATGCACTTGCTCAGTGTGTAATAGCTATGCACTGCCAGTAATGAAAAGCCAGGAATTGTATCTCTTGATTTAAATGTATCTCCCATGTCAGCTTTTATCCTCATCAACACCAAAGTGACAGTGTCATTTTTATTCCTTAAAGTACTGAAATCCTGCTCACTGTAATGTAGGGAACTGTGTGTGCTCTAGTTGCAAAATGATGACACATCTGTTCTGAAGTGACAGAAAGGGATGGATGTCTGATATGTACAGGTAACAAGTAGTTATTGCTGAACCATCACTCAAAAAGAGCATACTGCACCATAAATACTTCTAGTTCCAAAGACACTTAGGATATCATCATAGTTGACACAGAAAAGCAAAATGTAAGTGTTGCCATTGTTGGACATAATACATCTGTTGTGGAAAATATATTTGCACTTTGTGTAAGGTCTCTGGAGCTAGGTCAAGCACTGGTTGCTTTATTATGCAGGTGTATATATAAAAGCAAACCACGACTCTGGTACTGACATTAAAACCTGCAACCTTTTATTTCATTCATTGAAAGCTATTTTATTATAGTGTAGAAAAGCGAACCATTTGCAGATGCTGGGAATGTCTTTATGATTGGAAGCAGAATGTACAGTATTTTGTTCAGAAAGACTCTTTGCAGAAAAGCTATTGCTAATACATAACAATGATGCTGCAATCTGGGCATTTTGTAACACAGAAAAAAAAACATGAGTGATGCCGATTTATCATGCCAGTTGATAGCAAATGATGAATGGCTTGTCAAATCTTTAAAGGAGATAATGGTTGCATTACTTTACCATTCATATCATGACAAAACAAAACCACAGCTGCAGAATTTACTTTTCTCTAAATGCACAAACAATACTAGAAAATAAGGACAGTTTGGAGAATTGAATCATATTACCCTCAATATCCTTCCTTGACGTTAACCTGTTAGGAGAAACATACAGACACTCCCATTGTTACTGAGTTTTTAAAGAATATCTAAAGCAAAAACTTTTTCTCCATTTTGGGTAAGTAAGAGAGGGTTCAAATGCTCTACATTTTTGTTTTGTTTTTAAATCTGTATCCCATTAGGGAGATTTGCATTCACCTGCTGACTTGTAGACTCAACAGGAGGTGAGGCTATATTTCCAGTGTGAGGGAAATCCCCTCTTAGACAGCTGTTACAAGACCAAGTGTTCACATTGGAATAAGTCTCCTCTTTTTCTGTCCTGGTAGCAACTAAAAGTTTGAGATTTACCTTCATGTTCCTTTCCAATAGCATTGGTGATCAGGACAATTGGATGTAATTCTCCCTAACATGGACAAAGACCACAATTAAACAGGTTCTAACCACTTTCTTGGAGGCCATTGAAGGACAAACAAATATAGTAATTTTTAGATAATTGGTTATACTGCTGCCTTTAGGATGTTTGGACACTGGCAAACAAAAAATATTAAGTCAGCCGCTCTATAACCCTCTATAACCCTGCCTCCAATTGTCAGCCTCCATAAAGCCAAAATGTAAGACCTTGTCCCTTTATGGACGTAAAAAAAAAAAAATTATAAGTACAAAAATCTTGTTTTCTTTATTTTTAATGCCACATGTATATAATAATTATTGGACAATCGATATGACCAAAAGCAATCCAACTGAGGGGTGGGTGACAGCCATAGAGAAATTTAACAGGTGTAAACATTTTAATTAAAAGGAACCTGTGGGAATCTATGCCTGAACAAGGGCTGTAGAAAAAAAAGGGGGGCGGAACCCAAGTTGATATGATTAAGGTGGTTGTAAAGGCTCAAGGTTTTAAAAAAAAAAACCTTCTGTGTGCCCCCTCAATACTTACCTGAGCCTCATTGTGATCCAGCGGTGTGAACAACAGCCTCGGCTGTCTCAGGTCTCTGCCTCCCACTGCTGTCAATCATGGCCAGTCAGCCAATGAGGAGAGAGGGGGGGGGGCAATCCATGGCTCTGTTTGTGAAGGACACTCGGAGCAGCAGGTGCCCCCATAGCAAGCTGCTTGCTGTGGGGGCACCCGACAGGAGGGAGAGGCCAGGAGAGCCTGCATGGGGACCCGAGAAGAGGAGGATCCAGGCTGCTCCTTGCAAAACCACTGCACACAGTAGGTAAGTATGGACATGTCTGTCATTAAAAAAAAAAAAAAAACATTTAAGGAGAAGCAGCTTGGTGTGTGTTGGCAGCAGGACAGGTAGCATCACTTTTGCAAAACTGCTACCACATATTATGATGATAGACTTCAACAATAATATGGAGGACAGTAAAATTGCTCACTATAAAAACATTTGGAACAACATTTTCCTGAACAAGAGAAGCAAAAACTCAGACCAACAGCAAGGGTGGTCAAGAAGCAAGATTTTTGGTGAAGACCAAAATCTAGGATACTTAAGCATTGAGCTCAGGAAAGGGAATTTGCATTAAACAAAGTACATTCCACCATGGATCAACAAAAAAACAGCTGAGGGTCAAGGAAGAAAAACTTCTGAAGAGATCCACACCGTTGCTTATGTTTCTTCTGTGTAATGGTCAGCAGACAACTTAAGCTCGGGCAGGCATAGCTAGTGGCCATTCTTTCATTATTTTGCTAGTTACAGATCTGTAACATCACAGTTCTTTACTATACCACTTGGCAGAGACTTTTAGAACTTGTAATTCTGCTTGGGCTCTTGGACAAGGCAGAGTCAGTTGGCATCAATAACAAACACAAATGTACAACACAGCTTATATCTCAAAATAACAACAAACTACCCCTGCATGGTGAGCTCCCATAGTCATACATGGAGCTAACTCTATTACATCTACAGTCTAGATGTCACAGGTGTATCCAGCAGGTAAGAAGGGTATGGCTACGGCATGTAAACATCCCAGCTGGCTGCATCTGGAATACTCAAGCCAGCTGGGGGGGAGGGGAGGGATAAATAATTTAAGCAAAACTAAATCCTCAGCATACAAACTTTTCAGTTGTTGGTCCATATTGTAAGGGAATTCCCGTGAGACGGCTGGTGATTAGACGTGCGCATGTGCACAGAAATGCAAACGCACATGCATGAGCACACGCACGGTGAAGATTGGTGCCAGACGGACTATTTAAGAGGTGCCCCTGCCTGTGCTGAGTGCTGACTGGTCTTCAGCTGTTCCCTGATTCCTGCTTGTTCCTGTGTGATTTCCTTGTTGCTGACCCAGCTTGTTCCTGACCTGACTCTGATTACTCTCCTGCTTGATACTGGTTCTTGATGTCGGCTCTGCTCCTGACTTTGGCTTGTTTATGATTTGGTACCTCGCTGTCCGCCCATTGATGACCCCGGCTATTCCTATGACATTGCTCCTGTCTCCCATCCTAGCTTCCTGCCCCTCTCTGGTGCACACCTGGCGACCCACCATACCAATGCTGCATAACAATACTGTTCCTGAATCAGAGGTTCATCAGTCTTCCAAAGTCTCCAACTGGAAGAGCTGCAAACAACATCTGCTGGCGCTCTTGTCCCCCTGGTCCCTAGACACCCTCTGTTCCACTTCCAGTGGGGTCAGGGCTAGTGACACAAGTGAGGCCGAGCTTGTCATTTCAGTCTCCAATCAGGTACGTGACACATATACTCAATGAATAACATTGTTTTTAGTTTAAAAAAAAACACTACCTTATATTTTTATACCTACCTATGATCCCCAGATTTCTGAACACCACTGCAGCACAGTACAAAAGTCCCTGTGCACAGCAAGATGCTGTGGTGGTCAGCATCTGAGCTGATGCTGGATGTGTTGGTGCATTGTGTGTTGGCATGTCTACCTGTACTTCTCTATAGAAACAAGCATAAAATAATTCTTCCAAACCATACAGTGGCAGCATTTGTCACTTTATTTGCAGGCATGCTGAGGCGAGATTTGTGATTAAGGTTTTTACTGATACTGAAGCATAAACAGATGAACAGATGGTGTACCATTAGGAGCAAGGTAAATCATATTTATTTTTATGCTCAGGGTTTAATTGCCACACTCATCTGTTCTACATTCTTACCTTCTTTGTGGGGCCATTGACTTTTTATGGCGGCCAACACCACAACCAGTCACAGAGGGGGTGCTGTTTTAAATTGCTAACATGCTATGTCTCCCTGCTTCCCACAGCTCCACATTTTACAATGCTCTGCCTGTCCTCTACAATGCCCCCCTCAGCCCTTATGTGCCCACCCTGATCCCCTGCAACACCTCCGTCTGGATTTGGGTGCTGCAGGGGTGATACAGGGGAATTTAACTCTACAAAGAGATCCCCTAACTGCTCTGACCCCCCCC